GCTCACTGTGTTAGGGCTGATCGGTGCATCTGGAACAGTGTTCACATATTAAATAAACCAGAAGAAACCAAATCTAAAATCTAAATGTGGGTTATTTTCAGCTGATCTCAGGAGTATTTTATAGAGAGAGAGCTGAAGAGCTGTCTCACACACACACACACACACACACACACACACACTGTTTACAACAAACAGACCTTCTCTCTCGCTCTCTCTCTGTTCCAACATGGCAGATGGGAACTTTCAGTCTCTCAGTTGAGAGCCAAAATGTTAGAAAATCTAACCTAATGAATTGTATGTGTTTACAGTGAAAAGTGCAAAAATACACAAAAAGAACGAGTCATCATATTCACAATATTGATTTATCCATAAACCATATTTTATTATTATTCAGACATACTTTTAACCGCTGGTTCCCAACCTGGGGTCACTAATAATATCAAATATATCTATAGCTCAGCATGTCATTGCATTATTGTTAATAATAAATTACTTTTAAAGTGTATATTATTAAAGTTATACATTTTGAAGCTGTGAACACAGTATGTATATTGTATATTGATCAACAGCCTCGTCCTGCATCAGAAAGCAAACAGCTGATAGATCAATGAGAATAAACAGTGAATCTGTGAGAAAGAAGAATATTAAGCCTGAAATGATAAAAATACAGAATACAGGCAGAGAATCAAAATATCAGGAAACCTCATCTGTGATCAATATTCACAGGAAATAATCAAACTTCCTGCAGTTATTGAGTTCACTGTTTGTTTTCATTGATCAGTTGATCAGCTGTTCTCTGCTGTTATTGATACTGATCAATATGAAATATACTGAACATACAGTCAGTTCACTCATTGATAGAAGAGGAACTGATCTATACTGCCCCCCAGAGGCAGAGAGCAGCGACTACAACTGTCATCTACAACCCTGTTTATTGCACTCTGAGACCTGTGTGTGTGTGTGTGTGTGTGTGTGTTACTGACCTTTGACCTGCTCCAGGTCAGAGTTTAGCTCCTGCTCTGATTGGTTGGGAGGTCTGTAGGGCGGGGGCTGTCTCATAGGGGGCGGAGCTGCAGGTGGTTGCTGTAGAGGCGACACAAACAAACAAACAAATAAATAAATAAACAACCTCAGTGTATGTGAGCCAGACTGGAAGCCTTCAGGCCAGTGTGTTGGGGCTGTGCTGCCCTCTGCTGGACTCTGCAGGACTCACAGTCTGGTTGTTGGGGTTGTGGTGAATGTGGAGAGATGGGATGTTAATGGAGTCGGTGTGTTCTGGAGTTTAATACAATAGCAAAGTCTCTGTAGTATGCAGGGGTGAAAGTAGGCCGCTACTACTAAAGCTGTGAGCCAAAACCCACCTTCAGCCCCGCCACGCTCACATTTCAACCAATGAAACACTTCCATACAAAAGTATAATTCATTCAGATTTAGCAGCATGGGGAACAAGAGACTCCTCCATTATTTATATTCCTTTAGTCCATAAGGGTCCATCAAAACAATCAAAATGAAGATTGTCTTCAGCTGCTGTAAAAGCACGTTCACACACAGAGAACAACCTGAGAAACCTCAGGAGAAGCAGCAGTTCGAGAGGATTTCCATCTGTGCTGAAGGAATTAAAGGCCTGTCCCCAATAAAGTTCCCTGACTGCAGCAGATCAACAGGCTGGGATTTTTAATAAAATAATATGTATTATTTAATAATGATATAGTTTCAGAAAGGTTAAATAACAACATAAGGCCGCTGAGAAACCAGTGATGTCTGTTGATCTCCTCCGCTCTGCTTCAGTACCGTGCAGCGGTCCGACAGTAACATGAACATCAGCCAATCGTTTTGTAGTTTTTCTTCAGAGACATAAAGCTTGAACCACAATCATGAATGGGAAAGCTGAAAGCTTTGAGACGAGAGGAGAACAACAAGAAGTTCAGTCTACTTTCACCCCTGGTGTGAGCCAATGTGAGGAGGTTCCTGTTCTTACCGGAGACTCTGTCCTCTCTGCTCTGTGTTTACTGTAGCTGGAAGCTGTCAGAGACACAGGCTGAAACACACACACACACAGTCAGTGACAATTCTGGGTTTGGATTTACAGGCTGGCTTCAAAATCACATCCTGAAGGGAGTCTGTGAGAATCACCATGAGCTCCCTGCACACACTCCACTGCCCCTGAAGTACACCTGAAGTATTACGCCGCCAGCGAATGTCTCTTTTCTGTGTTTAGTCTGTATTTGTTCACATTGAGTCCACACAGTCTGCTGAGTTAGCTGTTAGCTGTTAGCCTGCAGCATACTCGGTCCAACCAGCCACAGTCAGTCAAACAATCAGCTCGTAGTTTACTTCATGCAAGGAGTTCTAAAAGCTTTAATTAACTAAATAAACTCTCCAAATGTCAAGAAAGGAAAAGAAAAACACCTCCTTTCATCATTAAAGAGAAAATCCAACCGTACAGCTTCTGAATTCAACCTAACCTTGTTAAGCAATCCAAAAACACCACAAAAACTAAGTCCTGGTTGGAGCCACCTTGTTCCTGTATTCCTGGTCATCAAACTAGTTGAAATAAACCTTTAATT